CAGGAGGATTCCAAATTTTCAAGTGTAAGGCCACATGTGGCAACTTTTGAGATCCGGATCAAAATTAAAAATAAAAGGGCTGGCAGGGGTGGGGGCTGGGGAGGACAACTGGGGTTGTGGCTCAGTGGTAGAGCACTCACCTGCACTGGGTTCAATCCTCAGCACAAAAGACAGAGAGAAGGGGTGGGGGAGAAGAAGGGCAGGGGATTGTGTCCATCTACAACTTAAAAAAATAATAATTTTTAAAAAGGGGAGCTAGGGAGGGGCTGGGGTTGTGGCTCAAGGGTATAGCACTTACCTAGGACACGTAAGGTAATTCTCAGCCCCACATTAAAATAAACAAAATAAAGGTATTGCGTCCATTTAAAACTTAAAATAAAAATTTAAGGGGGGGGCTAGCTAGGGATAGAGCTCAGTGGTAGAGTACCCCTGGGTTCGATCCCCAATACCACAAAAAATAAAGTGAATAAATAAAAATTGAAGGAAGTCTTAATTGGCTAAAGGGCTAACTGTTCCAATCAAGAGAATGATTTTCAGTAGCAAGCAGAAAGGTTCTTATCTTGTGCTTTGTCTTAAGTCAACATATTTTTTTAAAGATCAGATTAGATAAAAGTAGAAAAGACATACTCATCTTCCTAAAATGAAGATAAAAAAATTTCAAAGAGGTAGCCAATAATATGAAGAACATGGCAACAGAAATCCTGATAAAACACTAAATTGGATGTAAATTTATATTCAATGAGTGTCAAACCCACACATATAGTTGTACACTAACACACACCATACTGACAGGAATGGACAAGATGGCAATGTGCAGTATCACCTCCACAGGAAAAACCCAGAAGCTCTGACTGACAATGAGCTCAGAGGCATCACAGAGCGCATATGCTGCCCAAAGGCCAAAGCCATCCTGGGATACACAGTCTACCTCTGGAATGATGGAAGTCTTGGCTATAGCTCTACCTCTATCTGCTATCACTGAAGGAGGTGTTCAGTGAGGGCTGGCACTTGAATGGAGGGCAGCCAGGGAAGAACTGTGATGAAGAGAACCTCTGGAGGGCCTGAGTAAATCATGTAGACTAGTAATTTGTCCAACAGAAATATACTGTGAACTACATAAGAACTTGTCGATTATTTAGTAGCCACACCAAAAAAACTAAAAGACAAAATTAATGATGTTTTATTAACCCCAAAATATTATTTCAACATGTACACAGTTATCAAAAATTACCAATAAGTTATTTTATATTCTTTTTCCATACCACATATTAGAAATATATAGATATATACTGTATACTCAAAGTAACTCTCAACTCACACATGTGGAGCAGCAAGATGGGTGGGAAGGTTTAAGAGGAGACTGGCCCTCTGCTCCTAATCACCAGAGACTCTACTATTAGAATATACTACTTCTGGAGGAAGTGAGTTTCTCACAACTGAAGGAGTCAAAGAAAGATTACATGATGATAAAAAATGCTGCAGAAAGGGATCCACACAGTGAGAATCTTTAATTTCAGGAGGAAGAACCACTCACCCTGGTATGAAGAGATGAATTTGATTTCCTGGAGAAAAGAGAAAGCCTGACTGCTAAAGGGCAGAAACTAAAGGGAAAAACAAAACTCAAATAAAGCAAATAGTTACAAGGTAAGAGAAGTAGTACATGACTGGGTAAAAGCCATAAAAAGGGTCTACATAAGCTACAGGAAACAAACCTGTCCTCTCTTACTGCTTCCATGTTGTGCTTATGGTTTGGTAGCAAGGTAGGCTGGCTGTGAAGTCAAGCTACCTGAAAACTATGCATTCCACATACCTTCAAAGGAGGTGTTGAATATTATCTAATTTGTTTCGTGTGCTAGATTTCTGGGAAGGAATGTACAAATTATTGAAATTTCAGTAGTGATAAGATTCTCTTGATTTTTCACAGCTGGCCCTAGTAATTTATGTTAATAAGGTGATTTAGGTGAGGGGGACAACCATCTGATTAGACAATTGGGGCTCTAAGGTCAGTTCCTTATTGGAGGAGAGGGGAACTGGAAATAAGCTCCATTAAATCATATATTCAATTAATCATAACTACGATGAAACCTCACTAAAACTCTGGACACAAACAGAGAAGTTACTTGGTTGGTGTATACATGGATGTGACAGGAGGGTGGATGTGCCTCGATTCCACTGCGAAGGGGTACATCTTTGCATCTATGCCCTTCCCAGTTGCCCACTGTGCCTCTCTTCATTTGGTCAGTTCTGATATACGTCTTTTAAAACAAAATGTTACATGAAATGTTCTAATGAATTATTAAACCTGCGATGGATCACGGGAAACCCCTAGATTTGTAGCCAATTGATCAGAGTAGAAGTGGCCTGGGTACCCCAAACTGGCAGCTAGCATTTGAGATATGGGCAATCTTGCTGGGGACCATGGCATTCATCTGTGGGACTTTACTAATTCCTGATGGTTAGTATCAGAACTGTACTGTAGTATTTTAGGAGATCCACTTCTCCCAAATGTATCTGGTAGTATTCTGCAGAGAGGCTGCAAAATCTGAGCTTCTCCTTTCCTGCCAGGGCCTTATCCCCATAGTTGAGCTCAGCTCAGCTCAGCTTTTCATTTCCCTCAGCCCCAAAGAAAATGGCTCTCAAACCAAAATTGGCCTGTAGACATCTACTCCAATTAGGAGGGAATGACTAAAAAGAAGTAAAAAAAAAAAAAAAAAAAAAAAAAAAATTAACAAACCGCTCACAAGGAGGTATTTTAACTTTGCCAAAACAAATCTTTGACTAGTTCAATATATTTCATTACAACGCAAAAGTAGTAAAGGGTAAAGAAGCCTTGTCATTGAAGAATAAAGCTTTGCCTTGAGTCAGGAATTTAAAGCTTCTAAAACACTTTGAAAATTCATTTCCTTTTCATAGACATATGCAATTATATATCTTACTATCTCTATTATTATAAATGTAATTTAACTGTTTATAGAATGGTATTACAAAGCCTATGGTTATGCCTCAGGCATTGAAAGGCCACATGTCATTTAATACATAGATAAGAAGGGGGCGGGTGTGGGGATTGAGGACACAGAGAAGGGAAAGAGGTTAGAAAAGGGTTAGAACTGAGCTGTGGTGGGAATACATTCTAATCTCTAAAGAAGCACTTAGTGATGTTCAGAATGAAATAAAAATCACAAGCTTGGGAAAACTTCTGAAGCAAGGTCTCCAATGTTACGAATTCCACCCCACCCCTGTGCTTCTCAGTGAGTATTAGGCTATCACTAAGATAATGAGCTGGGGCACACAATTCTCATTGTTGCAGGGATACAATTTGACTAAACTTAGGCAAGCACTTAAAGTCTTTAAGCCTCAATTCACTTACCTGAAAAATGCTGTTGTGGAAAGTACAGAGTATTGGTATATAGTCCATCTTCAGAAAGTGTTAGTTCTGTTAACGCTGGATAGAGGCTGAAGATAATGCAGTTGGCCACAATAAAGGGCCCTCCAACTCAAGCAAAAACAAGGGCTGCCCTCTCTTTAGCTGCCACACTGAGCTTGTTAAGGCTGGCAGTGTCCTTGATTGCTATCACTCAGACAAACCCTAATACAAGCTACTTATAAGAGATTGCCTTCCTGACACAATCTTTGTACATTTGGAAATTACATCCGTGTTGTCATGTGACCATTACGAACAAGATTATGCTTAATGGAGACACAAATGAAAGTCTCCAATTTTAGTTGCAGATGCCAAAATTATTAACTTAAATAGCAGTAGACTTACCTATGTATTCTGTACATAATCAATTCAGGTCAGAATAACAATTAATGTTCAAAAAAACTAGATTTAAAATTAGTAATGCATTTAATGTGATTACTGATGTTTTCCTTGGAATATTGTTATGGTATTAACCTGGGCTAATGTTACCATAAATTCAAATGCACAAGACACACATTTTACATGAAGGCCATTTTCTGTTCTTAGGTAATGACCAACTTACCAAATGGTTTACATAATATCTTCATCAAATTTTAAGTGTTTTGCATTAATTTATAAAATTAAACAACTTGAGTATATGTTTACTGTGTGTCACATTTCACAAATATAGTAATGAATAAATTAAATAATAACAAATTCAGTTAGCTTAACTTACCTGGAAATTTAATGACAATTCACTTTTTATTCTTATGACCCTACAAACAAACCAACCACTGCTATACAGATTTCTACTCTGTAAATATATCTAATTAGCATCATGTCAGGGCTCATTTTCTTCACTTTTAATTTAAAAATTTTTAAATATGCTTCATTTTTAAAATTTTTAATAAAATAGATAATTCCATATTACATAGAGAGCAAGTCCACCTACTCTTGTTGATAGAAATATTTTCTATAAAAAGCTTAGTATTTGATTGGGAATTAATCCATCATATCATGATTTATATAGGTTCAGAGTATTCATCCTCACCCCATTCTTACTGATTGAGAAATTTTAAAATTCAGAATAATTTTCTTCATTTTTAAAGTAATAAGATGGGTCTGAGTCTATGACTCCGACATAAAACTAGTAAGCACCTGACATACATCATCTTTTGTTCCTTAAAATAACCCCAAGGTAGGTATCATTAGTATCCTGATCTAACAGACAAGAAATAGAAATTGAGAGGGCTTAGGTAACCTGCCAGGAGACAAGGCCAGACAATGTGACTCCCTGAGAGCTCCAGCTCTTAGCTACAACCATTTTCTACACTGCTTTTAAAACAGTGTCATGATATATCTTTACTCATATTAACATTGTTATGATGTGAAGTTTCTAAGATGGAGTCTGTCTATATAATTAGTGTAAAACTGACAAAAATGGTGGCTTGGGATATTCAGTGACAATAAAATTCTCATTTTATACATGTTGCATATTAGGTGAACCCTTAACATTTTTTAGCTGATTAAAGCATGTGAATTAGACTTGCCACACTTCACCAAGTTACTTAACAGTTAATGAAACTGCTAATGTACTTACCTCAATCAATTTGTTGGCATGTTCACGAAAAACTTGGGCATACTCCTTAACTTCTTTCTCATTTCCATTCTTTGCAGCTTCAATCAATACTAAAAGTGGAACGTTGGTTTCCAGGAAAGAATCTGAAACGTGGTCCATGACAGCTTTGCGGAGCTAATAATTAAATTGTATAAATTTGATTTTATTTCCACCAAGTAGCTAGATCATTTTTTCTCTTTTGTACTTTTAAATCTAATAGAAGCATATGATAGATTGGTTGCACTCATATGAGTGCAATATATGAGTGCAACCAGTAATGCAATTGCCATAACCTGCAACACAGGAAACATAGGATCATGGAGACAGTGGTTTCCACTATACTCACAACACTTCAGATAGAATCTAGTTTTCAAGACAACATTCTTTTTTCTTAGGAATTACAAAACTAAGGCTTACATCTTACAGGAATAATACAAAGCTGAACAGAAAGCAGCTCTGGGTGAAGTGGCACGCAGCCTTGAATATATATAATTAGCTTAATTAACTAAATGAAATGAAAAGAGAAAAAAAGAACTTTCTGGCTTATCTAAAAGTGCTAACACACTAGGCACTTTAAAACTTAAAGGATATCTTTATAAAATTTGGGGGGTGGCGGTGGAGTTGGGAGATCAAAATTGAGTATAATGTATGCTAAACATGTACTCCACCATTGAGCTACAAACCAGACGCCATCTTTACAAACATTCCTGATACTGTTCACCAAAAGGAAATTGAATCAGGGATAGTTCTGTCTTTAATTTTGCTTTAAATCAGACATGAGCAATAAAATGTCTCTCTACTAGTTTTTTAGAAATTGTCTGAATTAATTATAATTTCTTATGTCTTAATACTTTCTCGTATAAATTCAATCCTAACTTCTTTAAAAATTAAAACTCAGTCTGATTTTCAGATGGAAATCTCAGCACGCCAAATACCTCTATACCTATCATACTTGAACTAGAAACATATCTCCACCAAAGATCTAAGGGAACTGCAAGTATGTGATCAGAATGGGGCAAGTCAAATGAGTAATTGGAATATTTGTCTCTACTGTACATAATATAACGAGATCCTTCGAGGGTATTTTCATATGTCCCCAAATCATCCTTTTCATGCTAGACTTAACTTATTCAGTCCACCCCAATGGGACCACATTATTCCATATCCCTATGAGATTTTATTAGCCATTATGGACTTTATCAGCAAAAATACAGAGACAGTCACTTTTCTGTGAAAATCCATCCTTTTCCCCCAATAAAAACATAAACCCAAGCCTGAAACCGTGGCACACATGTAATCCCAGCTACTGAGGAGGCTGAGGCAGGAGGATCCTAAATTCGAGGCCAGCATCAGCAACTTAGCAAGATACTGTCTCAAAATAAAAAAATAAAAGGAGCTGGGAATATAACTCAGTGGTAAAGCGCTTGCCTGGCATGTGTAAGGCCCTGGGTTTAATCTGCTGCACATAAAGTTTTTTATTCATTATTTAATCCAGTATTTATTAGAATTTTAATTAAAGCTACAAAATCAAGAACTTAGAAAAGCAATCAGTACTTTCTTCCAGCTTACCTGTCTACGCAAGTCCCTGGTCTTCTTGGTCATTTTATCGATTGCAGAATTGAGTGCATCACTTCTTTCTTTACGTCCAGCCTACACAAAAACGTAAGAGATAAACATTTCAGATTCACAGGGAACCTTAGTAAGAGTCTATAGCTATTTAGTGCTCTATAAACATTGAAAAAAGTACAACTTTTTAATTTTTAAAATTTATTTATATATTTAGGCATACATGCAATACAAGGGATTTAACCCAGGGGTGTTCTACCACTGAGCTATATCCCCATCACTTTTTTTTAAAATTGTTTTTAGTTGTAGACTGACACAATACCTTTATTTATTTATTTATTTATTTTATGTGGTGTTGAGGATCAAACCCAGTGCCTCACACGTGCTAGGCAAGCAGTCTACCACTAAGCTACAACCCAGCCCTATCCCTATCCCCTTTATTTTGATTTTGAGACAGGCTCTTGTTAAATTGCCTAGGCTGGCAACAAACTTGTGATCCTCCTGCCTCAACCTCCCCTGTCGCTGGGAATATAGGCATGCACCACCCAGCCTGGTTTAGTATACCTTTTTTAGACCAAAGTTATAAAATATGGAAAGTATCCTATATGGTTTTCTTCATAAAAACTTAACAACTCTTGGTTTCCATATTATCTGAGATTGGAATTGAAAGGATTTTACCAAAATAAGGAGCCAAGAGACAAAGCCATTTGTTTAAAAATACATTTTTGTGTTAACTCAAGATTCAGCATACACCAAGTTCATTAATAAACAAGCTGCCCTTGAACTATAAGTAGAATAAGTTATATGTTGATGAACTATGAGATTTTTAAAGAAAGTCAGAGATCAAAGATGGTCCCTGACACTAACACCAATACAAAACAATGTTTTAAAACTAAGATGTACCATAATCAGAGTTAACAATGTATATTATACAGTTCAAATCAGAATGCTTTGTGAAATTGTCTTTTTTTTTTTTTTTTAAGAACTTCTAGGCTAAGCTTAATGCAATTGTAGTGTACAGAAAAGAAGATATTAGCCACTCTTGGAAAGGTATATAAATCAATACTTCTATAGAGGTGGGAAAGGGTGGTGATGAGTTGAGATTTGCCTGGGTAATATTCTGAATAGAAACAAAATAGCTGCTAGATGAAAGAAAGGGGACAAAGTTTTTATCCCAGGTGGTGCTAATTGTGTCCTTAGAAATACCTAGTAAGACAAAAGCTACATTAAACTAGGAAGTCCATTAGAAGTCCCCTCCCCTATCCCAAAACATATGTAGTTGTTTCTGAAAAACATGTTAGTAAACACAGGGGAAGCAGGACACAGTGGTGCACACCTGCAATTCTAGCAACCTGGGGGGCTGAGGCAGGAGGATTACAAGTTCAAGGGTAGCCTCAGCAAGTTTGAGATCCTGTCCCAAAAATAAAATAAAAAGGGCTGGGGATACAGCTCAGTGGTAGGGTACCCAGTATGGCCAAAAATAAAATCATCATCATCATCTTCTTCTTCTTCTTCTTCATCATCATCATCGGAGAGATATAAATGGACTAAGGAATTTAACCCAGTGTTCTCCCTTTGGGTGCCCTTGAAACATTCTGGTATGAGTATACTATCAGTATATAAGCCAGCACACCAGATAAATGGGTAAGGATGAGATCTGGTTGTATGTTTTACATGATTTGTTATTTACATCTTCTGTTAAGTGAGGGACAATGCCACTTATCTCTCTGACTTCATTTCTACACACTACTAAAGAAAAGAGAGAAAGAACATTGAGGACTACAGGTTATTTAGCAAAGAAGAGAAAGGACATAAGAAGGAACTTACAAATATTAAGAGTTGAAATTTAAGTGAAAAATTGAGATGGTCACTATGAAGACCCTGGCCAGGGTCTCATTCCTTACCCTTTCCACCAACATTCCTGAACTGCCAATAAAATTAAGTAGTCTGCTAATATTACTTTAGTTGGTAATCTACTAATATCAACAAAAACTGATTGAGGTTGGAGGATTGCTACCTGCAGAAAACTTTTAATTTATTCAAGGCCATCAGTCAAAAGAGAACTCAAAACTAAAAAGTCACTGACAATCTCAAAGTCGAAATGCCAGGATCTAAGACAAAAGATGTCTAAAATTGAATCAAAATCAAACTCATCTTATCATCAATGCTTCAATCTGGAAAGTCTCAGCACATTCCTTAGACACCCAAACATTTACTTCAAGAAAATTTCTCTAAATAAACTCAGTAATGTCTGTCATTGTTCCTTGTCAATTTTGGAGGGTATCGCTAATCATCTATTCTGAAACTATTTGGAATTTGAAACCCAAAAGTTGGGTTCACTGACGATATAAGAGCCCAATCTCCTGCCACCTAGAATGCCCAGATTTTCCCTCAATTTGGGTAAAAGGATTTACTGTGAAAATTATATAAAACCAAATCCATGAAATGATTTTTTTTTTAATATTTATTTTTTAGTTGTACTTGGACAAAATTTTTAGTTGTACTTGGACAAAATACCTTTATTTTATTTATTTATTTTTATGTGGTGCTAAGGATAGAACCCAGGATCTTGTGTGTGCTAAGCAAGTGCTCCACCACTGGGCCACAGCCCCAGCCCCCCATGAGTTGACTTTTGAAGGAATTATAGTCACATAGGAAAATTCATTTAGATACAATGCAATTCATTCCATGAATCTGTTAATTCTGATATTTGCCAAACTGCTCCCAAAATCAATTTGTCTTTCTTATTACTGTGAGAAATAGAAGTTTATGCCTTATTAATCAAGACACGGCAGATCAGAAGCAGATATTTACTAAACTTTTGAGGTTACATTAGATAGACCACTTTTAATTACTTTTTTTAAAAAAAGTACAGTTCAAATAGCAGGTTTAGGATTCCAATGGTACAGTGCTTGCCTAACATGTAAGGGCCCACCCAAGTTCAACCTCCTGTACTGAAAAAGGCAGGGGGAATGATTATATGTACATACATACACACACAGACACACACGCTCACAGCCTTAACACAAAGCTTGATCAAAGTGGAAAGCTTAGTGATCTGTAAAACATGATTTTACTTCTGAAATTAAACTCATTATGAATTTTTAGCAATAGTTTAATTGGGGCAAAAATAAAGTCACTCAAACATAATGTTAAGAAAAGCAAACTTAGAATATAACGGTTAAACATCCCTTATCTGAAATGCTTTGAACCAGAAATATTTCAGATTTCAGAGTCTTCCAGATTGGGGATGCTCAACTTGTATAAACATTATTGGAAGTAGTGAGGAATCTTTAAAATAACTGATCCTCAGTCAATTACTTGTTGACTTTATCTGTCATTGGCTGTGGAGGAAAAGAAAAACAAGTAGCCAATTACAGACATGTTTAAAAGTCATATGACTTAATGTGGCAAATCACCAGTCTCCTGTTTCTTTGTCATTAGGAAAAACATTAAGACTTTTCAAACTCCAAATACTGCTTTCTGTTCTCCTTTTAATCTAGAGTAAGGTTGGAAAGGGTGGGACAAGAGGGTCAAACTCAGGTTTTATTAACCTTAATATTGTTGAGAGCCACAGTTTAGTCAGAATGACGCCTGGCATTTTTGCCAGAGGGAATGGCTGAAAGGTGACCCTGCTCCAGGATTAGAGCAGATCCTGCTGCCTCGGGGTGCCCGCTGCTACTTTGGAGTTCCCATTGAGTTCTCCAGGGGTTCTGGGAGAATTGGCACGTGGAGCCTGGTGGAGGGAGTGTGTTCCCGGGAAGTGTGTGTAGAGTGCGGGTGAGAGTTGGGGAATAAAGAGTTGCTGTTTGAACCTACAAGGCTTTGTGGCTGCTCGGTTATTTTGTGCCCAGCTAGACTGCGGCATAATATGATTTAAAAGGAGGCAGGAAAGTCTAAATTAATATAACAGGAAGGTCTAATTAATTATATACAATGCCTTCATCAGTCTTCAGAAAATTAAAATTAAATTAAATTAGCCTTTTATAAGGCCCAAGTCAAAATGGACACCTAAAGCCTTTTCCTCTCAAAATAATGAGAAAAAAGGGAAACACTGAAGCTGTCATCCATACAGAAGAAGGTTTCAAATAAAGAAAGGGGTATAAAACTTCAGAAAGGAAATGATGCATCAAGCTAATAATTGCCTCAAGAAGCCTTCAGAGAAGACTGAGGACTAAAGAGAATCTTGAGGAAAAACATTTTTAAACCAAAGGAGACTAACACCTATTTACAGAGTCCATCCAGCTCCAGGAGCAATGGCGCACCCATGTAATCCCATCAACTAAGGAGGCTGAAGCAGGAGGATCATGAGTTTGAGGTGAGCCTCAGCTGCCAGGGAGACCCTGTCTCAAAAATAAAATAAAAAGGATTGAGGATATAAGCAGAGATTGATCATCCCTGACTTCAATTCCCAATACCCACACTCCCTGCTTTTTTGGATGTGTACCTAAATGGTTTGATGTGAATAACATGAGAAGCAATTGACCATTATTTCCACCTGGCCCACAGATGGCTGCTGGGCTCTGTGTAAGCTGAATATGCGACAAGAAGTTATTGAAAATCTATACAAAGCTCAACAGTACCTTAATCTTACAATATAATGGTTTTGTAGACATATGTTCTTAAATCCCCATCCCCTTTGTTTTCAATATTCATCCTTTAGTTTTAGGTGGACAAAATATCTTTATTTTATATTTATGTGATGCTGAGGACCGAACCCAGTGCCCGACCCATACCAGGCAAGGACTCTACCACTGAGCCAACCCCTTAAACCCCTTTTAAAGAGAACCCTATCCCTCAATTACAAAGAATAGAATAGTTTCTAGTATGCCTAATACTATTTATTTCATCCAAAAGTTTTAAACAATAGGTGAGGAATTCTAACATTACATATCACTCTATTTCCCTTCTCTTTCTTACCTCAATAAGAGCTAAGAAATGAGCATTACAATTTGGATATTTTCTCAGATGACAGAGCTACATTTAGCAAAAACCATAAAACCCTTCAAAAGACAAGTGACTAGAAGAAATATTTGTAAAACATGATAAAGTTAATCTCCTTCATTAAAAAAAAAAGTCACACA